CGGCTCCTCCTGCTGCGGCTCGGCTCCGTAGCTGCAAAAAACAACTCTCGGCTGGAGACAATCAGCTGAGAAACCCGAGCATTTGAGGCGCTCGCTCCGCACCGTGGGCTAGCACCGATTGGCCCAGGCAGGCACGCCCCCCAAGCGCCGCGCTCGAAAGGCCATGGGCCTTAGAACCCGTCACTCCGAGGTCTTGAGATCCGATTGGGCGTTCAGTTTCCCCGATTTCTGCCCCCGCTCCACTCCCTACCCATACTGCTGATTGGCCCAGCAACTGCATCGCCGGCTCGCGCCGGCGGGAGGACTCGGTTGTCGTCTGTCACTTGGGGTGTCTCTCGCTCCGCCCTCTGCGCCTGCCATTGGCTGGGGAGTCCTTTACGTAAGAAGCACGAGGAGAAGGAGGAGCCTCGGGTGATGTTTTTTTTTTTTCCTCCGGTGACCGATTCCACCGAGAGGGTGGCGGCCACAGGCGGGGAGGGTGCGGGCCGTACGTCCTCACAGGTAGGCGTAGCTGTGGCCGGCCTCCTGGAAAGCCGGCTGCTGCCCCGCCTTCTGCCTCCACCTTGGTCTCAGGAGGCAGGAACCCTCGTCCGTGGGTTTGGTCCGGGTCCATCCCCGCAGGTCTTGCATTATATATATGTATACAGGTCTCAGGCAGGTAGGTGGCAGCGCGGGTCCTTCAGATATGGTTCTATTTTTTTTTTTTTCTGTCTGCAGAAATGGGTATTCAAACCTGGCGGCTTTCCTCTAGCAGGGGCTGCACCGCTGAACTCTGAGTTAGCACTACTGCTTCTGGGACACGGAGGGGCCTCACCCGGACCTTTCTGAAGGACATTTTATTTTATTTTATTTTATTTTTGTTGTGTGAGCTGTAAGAAACGGGGATGTGTGGGTGGGATGATGTGACGGGTGAACTGAAACTCTTGAGTTAAAAGACCCCCTTCCTTTGGAAACGTCCTTTAATAACGAATGGTGGTAGGATCAGAGGAATGTCGAAGCGATCTGTGAGTAGGAGAAGGCTGTTCTTTGAAAGAAAATTTGGGAAGATGCCTCAGGTATAAATTTGCGGGGGTGGAGTGGGGGGGGGCAGAATCAAAACTAATGATTGTCTAGAAGGGAAGGAGAATAGCCTGCTTCTTAAATCCCACTTGTGTTGAAGCCTTATTCCTGAATATAGGAGATGGTGGCGCTATTCCTAGGACTGAGAAAGCTACAAAATAAATGTTATGTTACTGCTTATGTATAAACGAGAAATAGTTATTCCAACATAATCCACACATAATATTTATTGATTTTTTGTGTGTTTGGAAATAAAGGGAACAAAGTGGTGAGAGATTAAGAGGAAATAATTTATGTTTTTGGAACGAACAGCACATCACACATTTAGTAACCTTGTAAAAGGTACTGTTACCTTTACTGAAGCAATCCAAACAGTCTTTCCTCACTATTCTTTGTCCTATGCTTTGCCCAGAAAGAGCGTTGCTCTCTTTTTGCCCAAGTAAGTGGTCCACAGGGAGGGACTTTAAAGTCTGTTTTGTACTCCAGATTCTGGGCTAGTAGTTCACCAGGCACTAGGTACTGCTGCCGTGTGGGTTCTTTCTAGGTATAATGACAAAATGATGGATGAGTGTGCCTGATACTATTATGTAGACATTCTCAGATGAAAATTCAGTGGAGCCTGTTGACCAGTGTAGGGTACAGTAGGGTACAACTTAATGAAAGAAGTTAACAGGCCTGATCCAACATCAATACTTTGAAGAAGGAACCTATATTATTTGGAATTTAAGAGAATCAGCAGAATTGATTCTTACAGAATGTGGTTAGGGTAGCCATAAAACAGGTGATAGAATGCTCATGACAGGAGTGAGGTAATTGATTGCAGTTGTGTACTTAAGCACAAAATCAGTTATGTCATTTTAAGCATTTGTCAAAATCAAGATTACCATTTGTTCTTCAGCATGCCCTATTTGTGCATCTTATATGATCAATGAAGTATGAATTTAAGTCCAGGAAGAGTTTTTTTTTTCCTTTTTGTCCTCTATTCTCTGCTCAAAATGGTAATTTAAAAAAAAACCAGTTTGTACTCACATGAATTTGCTTGTGAAACTCTTTTTCTCCTTGTGTGAGAGTAAGTATGGACACATTTTTTCTTTCTTTCTCCTTTTTTTGGGTGAAGAATGTGGGGGTAAAAATACAGGATTTTCTTTCTACCTGCTTAGAAGGACTCTGGCAAAATGTCAACTGCTTTTATTGCTTCCTTTGGGTCCTTGGATTTATTAAATAATAAACTGTTGAGATTTAATCAACATTTTATTAGAGGCTGGTGCAGTGAGCAGATTCTGTTCTTCAGTAGCAGCATTAAACTGTAAGTAAGCTATTTTTTGACAGAATGTTTTTATAGGAATTTTGTAAGCATTATATGCCCCATTTGTTGCAAAATATGGAATGTGTCTTTTCCCAGAGAATAGTGCACACAGATCTTGATCAATTTCTTGACAGGGTAAGCAATTGATTTTATGGTTAATCACAATGGAACTTTAGTCCTATAAAGGGGAAACTCATCAAGGATCCCCTAGAAAAGCTTACTGCCAGGTATTCTAAAATTTAAATGTATTCAAGTGCACAAAGGTTGAATATTGTACTACTGAGAGGGCAGATTACTCTTTAAAAGCAGAACTATATATTACTGTACACCGGACCCAATACCACAATGGGACTGATTTAGCTAAAGGAGGACTACCAGCTGTTCTACCGGCCTAAGGAGCACATAGAGGCAGATTTGCATCTGCCTCCCCACAGGAAGGCAGGGTTTATGACTTTCACTTGAGATACTTCCTGTTTTAAGCTCTGTGGTGACTTAATTAATATTCTATTGCCGAACCAAAGAAACAAACACCCCCCCCAAAACAACAAAAACCCCCAAAACAACAACAAAAACCCCTCATGTTGTCATTTGCTTATTTTTGTGTGTGTGCAAGCTTTAGCTCTTTTTGTACTGTAGCCTCACTGACCCATTCTTATAGTGCTTGTTATTGTCTTAGTTTCAAGTCAGTCATTCTTTCCATCTTTTAGATCACCTTTGCATGCATGCTTATTTAGAGTTTAGGGGTAAGACTAAAGTTATATCTTTTTTATGACCTCTGATTACTGCTTATAGGATTATTATACTGAAGAATTAAAGACCCTTCCAGGCTGAAAGTTTGGAGGTGTATGTGTGTTGTGTTGTCAAGCGTTCTGTAACAAACACTTACTTGTGACTTCTTTATTTTGCCTTTGGCACCTGTTGTGGTAATAGTTTCATTTTGAAGAAGTATCTTTACTTTTAGAATCTTCCTATAGTGGAAATGGGTCAACTTCCTGTGAATTCTTTGAAATTTAGAATGGGTGTTTTGCGTTCAAGTCACTTTCCTCTTACTTGTTATTTAGACCAGGTGTAAAAATAGGCAGGTTATATTGCGATAACACCTCCAAAACTTTAGGGATTTAAGTAAACTTTGTTTTACCTTCACAATGAGTCAGCTGGGAGTTTTGCTTCATTTTGTCTTATTTCTGGGACTTGAGTTGACAGAGAAGGCCTTATTTTGAGTATTACCAATCATCATAGCAGAGGGAAAACATATCATGCTTGACACATGTATATCGACTCTTTGAATTTTCCAGAAGCTATATGTCATTTTTTGCATTTCAGTGACTAAATTAAGTCATGGCTGTACCTAACTCAGGGAGGTATAAGTTTAGCATGTATAGATAACTGGAAACATTTGGACAGTCCGATGTTCAGTCCACACATCTTTTACATCCTGTATGCAGTTGATTTCTTCCCAGTGGAGATAAACCAAAAATCTCATCCGGTCACGTGTCACAATTAAAGTTCAGGATTTCTAAGTAATGCCTAATAGTGATAATTTCTTTATCTGGTCTAGACATGAGTTATCTGTCCCCTAATCCATATGTTGAATGCATAGGGTAATGTAGGGACAGATAAGTTCCCATATGGAGAGGGGAAGAATGGAAAACATATACCAGACTGTAGATTGTAGTAATTTACAGATGTTGCCAGGGATCTTGACTTCTTCCCTACATTCTATGGGCAGTTTTTTTTTTTTTTTAAATTGAGTGTAGTTTGAATATTTGGCAAACAATAAAAATAAGTTGTAGGACAAGTAAAGTAAATATCAAAACCAGTTTGAAATTTATTATTAGTCAACAGATACAAAATTCTCTGTGAAATTTCTAGAAAAGCTTCTAAACACACTGGATTTCTGTATTTATCTCATTATTGTAGATCATTAACAAATAGTTCTTATTCTGCACATGTCCTAGAGCATAGTTCTTCATGGTCTTTGGCTTTGCCCTATGAGAGGCCTGCCATTTTTATTATCCTTGGCCACATCTGAGATTGGCTTTGGACAATATGGCTCTTTCTGTGGTTGAGCAATTTGTTCAGCATGCTTTGATGACCATAGAAGGTTGGGGGCTCAAGATTATTTTTGGTTGTGAATAGCCGGACTCTTGAATGGGGCTTCTCCAATTATCTTTTAATACCTCGTTAAATATGACCAACAGTGACCATCACATAGTATTTATTTTCTGTCTTTCAGCCTCTTTTCTTAGTGTAGTAAACAAATTCATTAGCCACAGAAACCAAGGTGCATGTTAATTGTAAATTCATTAAATACACATCACCTCCAAATTATTGTAGCAATGGTTTTATCAAATATTTGTCACATGGATAACTTGATCTGAGCACCAGTATTGGATAAATGTTTCCTTGAGTAGGTCCAGAATAGTTTGTGTTCACTTGGACCCGGAGCCAGTGTTTTGGGATTTTTTTTTTTTTTTTTTGTGAAGGCAACATCTCGCTTCTGGTTTGCATACCAATGATGATAGATTAGCATGTACTGTAACAACTCCTTCTCAAATCTCCATGGTTTAAAGCAATAGGTTTATTTCTTCCCTATGTCACATGGTCATTACATATAAGCTAGGAGTTCTCTGTGTTAAGCTCAAACTGACAGAACAGCTACCATTTAATCATTTCTAGTGACCATGACAGAGGGAAATAAAAACTGTTGTTCAGTGAATTCTCCTAAAACTGTTGCCTAAAGGAGAAATGACTTCTCCTTGCATTTTTTTGATCACATGATGACTGTTACTAGCTTCACCAGAAATGGAGGGAAGAGGGAGCTAAGTGAGCCCTACCTTATCCATGGGAACTGGAATTGTATTAATGATCTACCATATCAAAGAAACAAGGTCACATTTCTTTAAAGGTACTCATTACTTTTTTTTTTTTTTTTTTTAGGTTCTTGTTTTGTTTTGTTTTTGTTTTTTTCAGTGCTGGGGAAGGAATGTAGGACCTCACACGTGCTAGGCAAGTACTCACCCTTGAGCTGAATCCCCTGTCCCAAGGTTCTTTAATTTTTGAGGCATTAACTATTGTTTTCTATTTCCTTTTCTAATTACTAAAGGAAAAAAACTTCATGAATAGCTTCTATAACCAGGGGAATGGCGCATGCCTATAATCCCAGCAAATGGGGAAACTGAAGCAAGAGGATCCCAGGTTCAAGTCAGCCTCAGCCAATTACTGAGACCCTAAGCAATTTAGTGAGATCCTGTTTCAAAATAGAAAATAAAAAAGGGCTAGGGATGTGGCTCAGTGGTAAAGAACCCCTGGATTCAATCTCCAGTACCCTGACAAGAGAAAAAAACAAAAACAAAAACAAAAACAACAACCAAATATGTTCTGTATCTTTGTCTTTATTCTGTTCTTGCTGGGATTCTCTTTCCCCATGCACATTTCCTCCTCTTTAAAGATCTTTTAATGAGAAGAGCATGTTTCTGGGAAAGTACATTTTATTTTTTTATGCATGCGATAATGCTCACTCTTCTGTGGCTTGAGAGGGTAGATTGGATTAATATGAGTAGAAGGTATGGGAGATTTGATTACACATGGTTGATAACTTTTTAAGACAAAATGAAAGTGAACACTATTTAAAGAGATAGTACTCTAAGGCTTCAAAAGTTCCCTTGGTATCTACCCATGCCCCCAGTTACTTCTTGTTTAGAGATAGTTACCATTAACTGGTCATTGTTTTGACATTGACTTTCCTTTTTCCAATAAATATGGTTTTGATCTTGTGAAAGATTTAGTGCTCTTTCATCCCTTTATCTCACCCTGTGTGCTCCCTTTCTGTCTCCTACCTTCTCACTCTTATTATTATGGTTTTGGTTAAAGCTGATCCATGCTATATTCTCTGCTTTAAGTCATTTTTAAAATAATCAAACTTATTTAAAAATTGAAACAAATTGCAGAAATTACTACTGAATTCTTATGTCTAAAATTAGGTAAGGATAATCACCAATGTCTATAATGGACCAAGTGCATAGTACTTTCACATGTATAATCTCCAATTCAGTGTTAAAATGTCCAATTTAGAGTTAAAACAATGAATTATAATCTCAAGGACAGGAAAAATGAATCTTTCAGTTGTGATCTTACCTATTGTTTTATAGATTATAGTTATTTCATATAGTAATGAATGTTAAATAGTTATTCCCTTAGCAATAGGAATGTATTTCCCTCCAGAATGTAAAGAAAATAGTGGATGACCTATTTTAAAACATCCCCATTAATGTAAAGTGGCTATAAAATAGGGTGGTTTAAAATGACAATAATGTATGATCAATTTTAATGTCAGGATACCTCTTAATTATGTCACGAAAATTACATTTTTATATGCCTCTCACAGTTCTTATTCATCATTTTACTTTGAGTTTTGAACACTTGACTTATTACTAAAAAATTACTAGCAAATTTGGTATAAACTAGCTCTAGGAAGTAACCCATTAATTATTAGCTCCTTTTTTTAGGAATACTTGTACACTATGAAGAATATATGTACTTACTGATAATATTGAATGACTGTATTCAGTTTATTAGGGGTTTTACATTTTTTATCATTTTATTCTTTATTGAAAAAATTGGGGGCTGGGGATGTGGCTCAAGCGGTAGTGCACTCGCCTGGCATGCGTGCGGCCTGGGTTCGATCCTCAGCACCACATACAAACAAAGATGTTGTGTCCGCGAATAACTAAAAAATAAATAAATATTAAAAAAAAGAAAAAAATTGCCCATATGCTTATGAATATATAGAAATAATTTTTGCTATTTTTTCATTGCCTATTTTGAAATAGTATTCTTGAATTTGAAAGATATAAGTCCTATTTGAAATAAAAAAGAATTAAAACAAAATTCTCACCTATACTTGTGAATATTTTTTACCTTCTACAAGTAGGGTATTTTTATAATGTAGTACTTTTCCTAAACAATCTTCTTTTAAACATAGGTAATATAGATCACAAGAGAAGAACTTCCTGAAGTTGTTAAAGAAAAAATTGAAAATAGCAATATAGAAGACAAAGAGAATTGACGGCAGATATAGAGGGCAGAATGGAAGTAAGTACACCAGGGAAGAAGATGACAGGAGGATATATAGGTCAAGTCTGAGTTTAGAAAATAGAATTGAATTAAAATATGAGTTGAAAAGACTTCAGATTCAAAGCAGATTCATCTAAGTCTTGAACATTAAAAAATATGTATCTTTAGAAATAATGTACTCTTAGTAGATATATTCTAGGGGATTTAAAATAAATAAAGGGGCTGGGGTTGTAGCTCAGTGGTGGAGTGCTTGCCTAATATGTGTGAGGCACTGGGTTATATCCTCAGCGCCACATTAAGAAAAAAAAGACACAATATCTTTATTTTGTTTATCTACATCTAAAAAAGTTAAAAAGAAAAGAAAGTAAACGTAGTAGATATATTTTGTATGTATCATTCCCATCTTAACAGGATTTAGTAACTATTTGAATGTTTATTGTAAGTTAAGTGTGGATAAGCAGAATAAAAATGTCCAATTTAAAAATGGGTCTGTTGCCCCAGCCTCTTGGATTGCTGGGTTTACTGGGCCTGACTAATTTTAGAACCTTTAAAGGTGACAATTAGCCTAATATACTCAATAAAATATCTGTGAAACTCAGGTTACCAAATTGAGAATTTTTCAGATATCTTTGATTTCTTTTGCAATTATCAAAAATCAATAGCATTATTAAATTAGTGCCATTTTATGTGCATGCATGTATATACACATCATTCTCCCTCAAATTTTTTACTAGAAGGAAATAGTAAAATTCTATCAAAATCAAAATAATGTAAGAAATAACTTGTAGATTTAACTTTATTTAACAAATTCATTTAACAACTTTGTTGAATACCTATTCTTTGCTAGGTATTGTCCTAGGTAATAGAATACAGCATAGAACAAAACAGACAGATTCTCCTGCTCATATGCAACTACAGCTGATGATGTCTTCTGACTTCAGTATATTTAGAGTTGGGATCTCTTTTATCATGATGTGCATTTTTCATAAGTCAACTGAAGATTCTGTGCCAGAACTGAGTCCTCAGAAATATTTCAGCACATTGCAACCAGGAAAAGCCTCTCTAGCTTATTTTTGTCAAGCTGGTAAATATTTTTAAAATTCTAATATTCTTTTGATGTTTATATTACTGTCTAGTCAGTATTTGCTTAAGTGGGAATTTCCTGTCAACATCAACCATATATGCTACAAAGCTGTCACTACAATTTACCTGCCCTGGTAAATCTGAACTCTGCTACCTGGCCTGTAGTGTTACATTGGTCAAGTCTCTTAGCTTCCTTATGTTTATTTTGTTGTCTATTATGAGGAAATAATAATTGCTTTCTAGGTGTGTTGTGAGGATTAAATAAGTTTACTCATGTTTAATTCATAACAACTATTGTTTTAAGGATTAGTTTATGATGTAGCATCTGAATTTTATTTAGTCATTTCTGAAAGTATATTTTCTCATAGTTTAGCATGTAAATATTTTTAAAAAATTAAAAGCTAAAATGTAGTATTAGTAATGCTTTAGAACTCAGCTCTAGCTGTATCATTAATTATACTGAATTAACTAATATAACTATTGAACAAAACTAGTAATTGTAAAGGTCTCATGTAATATTTCATTCCTTAAAAATACTATTCTATTCTTGGAATTAGTAAATGAGATGAATCCACTTTTCCTTTAGCTCCCTTTTTATAATTGTAACTTGGTATTTTAAAATTATTTTGAAAAGTTTGTATATGTGTGTATGTGTGTGTATATGGCATTAAGATTGGAAGAAAAATGCCTAATGTTAGGTTCAAATTAAATGTTTATTATATATTTTTAAGTAGGATTTTTTGAAGTTTATAAAGTTAAACGATAAAATGATTAAATGATAAAAATATTAGAAAAAACATTAGAAATAATAATAATGAGGTATGTGTTAGAAGCTAGTTGGACAAATAATATATTTCTTCTGTGTTTGCAGATTTTGGCTTTCATTTTAAAAGTTTATCCTTTTACAAAGGCAACCTATAATTATTCATAAAACATTTCTCATTTTAGATTCACCAAGTACCTCTGTACTTCTTGAAGAACTGAATGAGGCTGCTAAACCTCTCCAGGACTATGGGATTTCAGTTGCAAAGGTAGAAAGATATTTATTTTCATAAAATACTAGTGACAGACATTTTAAAACTGTATGGTTTAATACTGAATATCTAAAGATACTTTCTTTTTCCAAACAGGAAAAACATTTTTTCTTTTTTTGTATAAGAATAAAGAGAATCAGAGAAAGATAGTTTCATATTATTGTACAATATAGTACATACAGAGGAATGACTTTTTAAAATTCTTTAGCCTAGAATTTAGTTTTATTTCATAAGTCATTCCATTAAAGTGAAGTGTCATTTTCAAACCTATAGTTAAGTTTTTGTTCTGTTTTATTTTGCCTGACAAATATCTCAACTATTATTAAATTTCTATTAGTGCAAACTGGGGTAACAGAATTAAGGTAACTGAAGAATTTTTTATTTTCTAAGTCTTTATAATTGTTTTTGTTGTACTTTCTCACATTTTTTAGAACAAAGTTTAACAACTCAAATATGTTTATTAAGTTTTTCCTCAGAAAATATTCAGATTTGCTACAAACTATCATAGGGAATTTCCACAAGCATCTTGGATTAGATTGCTACATACTCCTTTCACTTAATTTAAATTTATAGTTTGTATATAAGAAAACTGAATGAAAAATGACATAATGATATTAAATTCTTTTAGAATATTGTCTACCTGACTATTCTTAAAAAAATGCATTCTAAATACTTGCATTTATTTTTTCTTAGTTCATTAGCACTCATCTCAGAGATGGTTGTTACCTTAGTTTCTGCAGCTAGACTTCCTAAGGCAGGAAAACATAAAAAAGGTTAACTAACTTTGCAATATACCTTTAAAAGGTCCATATTTTTTTGGTGTCAGTTTTGTACATACAGAGGTCTCAGTTAACTTTGAACTGAATCCATTCTAGAATAATAGCAACTCTCACTTCCCAGGAGGTTTGATTAAAAATTTTCAACTGAAATTTCAAAATATAATAGTAGGTTAATATGAAACTGAAAAGTAATAATGATGCTGTTTATATAATAACTAGCAGACAGTACTTAGTACTGTGTATCTAGCAACTGGAGTAGAATAATTAAAGTTTGTGCCCACATTGTTAGATTTAGTAACTAATATTACTTAAATTCTTTTTATGGTCAAGAATGCTGAACTATCTGGAAAGGAGATAGCGGTGAATGAGACAGGCCCATATTGAGTACCTAGTTTAGTCCTTAGCACCTAGTAAATAGTAACTAATATTTGTGGAGTTGAAATGAACTTATTGTATTCATTCTTCTTTTGGATGGAAAGATAACTAAGATCTAATACTTTTCTTTAGAGAGTATATATCCTAAATTGTGGGGGATAAAACACATTTACAAATCATTTTAATAACTAAGAACCAGATCATTGCAATAAGAGATACAAATAAAGTGCCTTGGAAGTTTAAAGGAAAGAAAACCTGTATCTGATTGTTGAGATGGAAAGTTGCAAATGATATTGGGAAGACTTCATGAAAAGTAACATTTGAGAACTTCTTCAAATTAAGATTGCCAGAGGTAGAGGTTGATGAGGAAAACACTGAAGTATACTTGTACTGAATATTCCAGGTATGACAAAGATCTGACAAGCTAGATACAAAAACCAAATCCAACTGTGTGCCATTTAGAAATGTATCTAAAATAAAGACTTCAGAAATCTTCAAAGTAAATGAAGAAAGCAAAGTATCATTGTGCAGATGATAACCAAGAGAAATCTGGCATGGTTATGTTACTACATCAAAGTCTATTTTAAAACAGAAAAGCATTCAGTCACCTTCGACTTTTCTTTCATAACCAGTCCATCTACTACTACTAGATTGTACTGTCAGAACTTTTCAAGTCTGACCACTTCCTGTACCTTCACCTTTACCTCTTCTTGTCATCACTTTTCATCTGGAAACCACAATAGTCTTTTAATTATTGGCCTTTCTCCTTTAACTGTTGTTCAGATACAAACTCTTCTCCATATTTAAGCAGGTGTCTTAGAAAACATTGCTACCCTGCCCAGAAAGGCTTTACATTATAGTTGTGATAAAATTGAACCTCCTGAGTACTGTAGAGATTAACTTTGTCTCTGATTTCATTTTCTATCCCTCTGCCTTGGTGTAACACGTACAAATCATCTTTCTGTTAGTTAAGCCTACTAGAGGTGCTGTTACCACAGGGATTTTGCAGTTACTTTCCCCTATTCTTAGAATTCCTCTTGAACATCCTTATATTCATATGAATTGCTTCATTTCTTTGAGCAAATATCATTTCCTCAGAGAAGCCTTCTTTGATTACCTATCTAAAAAGACTTTTTCTATACTATCCCTTTCCTATTTGTTAAAGTGCCTGATACATATTAATTAGGTTTTTAAATTGTCTCTACTTTTGGAACATAAATTCTAAAGATAAAGATTTTTTATTTTGGATTTAACTGTATCACCAGTTACTAGAACAGTAACTGATATGGTTCAAGTATGTGTTGAAAAAATGAATGAACGGACAAACCTATTGTTATAATGTAAAACCATCCCTACATTCTGGACTTAAATTCACTTTTTGGTTATGGCTATACTCTTTTAATTTTTTTTTATTTATTTGCAATAACAGGAGACAGGGTCCCCAGAGACAGGGCCTTGCTAAATTTTGTTCATGTTGTGATCCTCCCATCTCAGCTTCCCTAGTAGCTGAGTTTATAGGCATGTGCTTCTGTGCCAAGCTTCTTTTTTGGCTGAAGGGGCGGGAGTGGTTTTCGGGGTATTGAACGCAGGGGCACTTGACCACTGAGTCACATCCCCAGACATATTTTGTATTTTATTTGGAGACAGGGTCTCACTGAGTTGCTCAGCACTTCGCTTTTGCAGAGGCTGGCTTTGAACTTGCGATCCTCCTGCCTCAGCCTCCTGAGCTGCTGGGATTACAAGCATGTGCCTGCCACACTTGGTTCCTGGCTTCTTTTTAATTCTAATTCTCTATGCCTGACTTCTTTGTGTCAGTTCCCCTTTTGAAGTTTTTTAAATAAATATCACTTGCCCAGTTATCATTCTGTTTCCTCAAATTATTAAAATTAAATTGAGCAACAAAAACTTCATCTTAAAGCAAACAAAAACCTTACCAAATCTAAAACAAGTGTTCTCTTAGCCTTAGTTTTGCTTAGTAGCCACCAATGTGCCCTATTTAGAAAGCCCTCATTCTCTTTATCTTTCCTTTCCCCCACTGTTTTTACACTCAGTCTTCTCCCTACTTTTACTTATTTGTGAAAAGTCTCTTGAGTTTCTTCTGCCCTTTTTCACTGTATTTCAGCTCTTAGTCATTCTTCACCTATAGTAATGTACCTACCTTCTTATCTTTATGCTCTTTCACCTTCCATTTTATCTTCACGTTACTGCCAGGGTTATGTTTCTGCATTAAATCCAGATTATAAGCTACCCAGGGCTGCTGTGGCTGCTCTAACATCAGGGACTCAGCTTCATTTTTTTCTGTTGCATTGTCCTTAGTTAAGTGACTTCTTCTTTAAAGATGCCTAGTGGTCCATGATTGCCTTTGACATTCTGTCTGTCTTGTCTCCTTTTTGTCAAGAAGTGGTAAAGAGCAAGAATATCACTCAATCCCTCCCCTTTTAAGAACCTCCCAAGAATTCCAACCTAGTGACCTCTCCTAACACCTTTTGTCCAACACTACCTATTAGGGAGGCTGGCAAAGCCTTTTAATGGAACATTTGCTTTTAGTAGTTTTGTTAATAAAAGGGGGGAGGGATATAGGTTTGAGATAGGAAATCGAGCCAAATCATAGGTATGCCATACCTGTGTTCAGCTGCCAAGATGCTTTCATGCTCCCAATTTAGCATGCACTTTTGTGCTTCCAGTCACCTCACTTCACTGTGCTGGGGATTGAACCTTGGGCCTCATCTTACACTGAGGGTCCCCTCTGCCCTGACCACTTCCTGGCTTTTCTACTTGCTTTTATGTCTGGCCTTAAAGATATCTTTCCTTTTCTACCTAGTTATCTCCTATTTGTTCTGTGAAATTGGATTAAATGTAAACTCTTAGGTATAATTAAATATAACTCTTAGGTGCAAAAGTAGTTCCTTTCTCTGCATTTCCTCATATACTTGGATAAGTTGGCAGTTATAGCATACAAGTTAAAAAAGGAAGGAAGGAAAGGAGGGAGGGAGGGAGGAGGGAGGAAGGGAGGGAGGAAGGGAGGGAGGGAGGGAACCAGAGACCTGGAAGGCCCAGAGTGAGGGTCTCACACACCATGGGAAAGCTTTGCAGAGCCTTGGATATGAGGAGGAGGGTGATAGCTGTGGCAGAAGTGGTGACCAAGGCAGGAGATGATTAAGGAAAGGTGCCAGAAAAAGTCCTTTCAAGATAGTTTTGAAGACATAAAGAAGCAAATGAAAAAGAGAAGGAATAAAAGCTTGATGGGATTGGCAAACACAAGTCCTTTGTAGCTGCACTGTGCCAAACAGCACTTCTACATTGCTGAAAAATTACCAGCCAAACAACAGAATGTTAGTTTTAGCTTTGGAAAATGAAAAATCCAAAGTGAGAAAAGCCCAAGATATCATCCTACAGCTGAGAAAAGAACGTTACTACCTTGCTTGTCATTTATATGCATTGAAAGAAAAATTTAGTTCACAACAAACAGAAGAAGCTTTTCTGAATGATGGAATATGACCCTTTGGCACTCCAATAGTGATGACAACACCAGGAATTTATTTGTGGAGAATTCACTGTAAATTCTTCTTGAAGCTGACCTTCTAAGACAAGGAGAATCATTCCAATTGGAAGAGGAAATACCTACTAATTCCTCAAGAGACACTGGGGGGCTGGGGATGTGGCTCAAGTGGTAGTGCGCTCGCCTGGCATGCGTGCAGCGCGGGTTCGATCCTCAGCACCACATACAAACAAAGATGTTGTGAAGATGTTGTGTCTGCCGAAAACTAAAAAATTTAAAAAATCCATTCTCTCTCTCTCTCTCTCTCTCTCTCTCTCTCTCTCTTTAAAAAAAAGACACACTGGGATGTGATTTTGATTCAGACAAAGCTGAGTCTACTGATAATGCATTACCTGGAACTGTGTCTCTCCATCATCATTTAAAGAGGCATTTTAATCATCTAAAGTCAATTGAATACCTCAGATGACTTTGAAACCAGTCATTTGGAAGGGCAACATTTTGAATTGGAAATAATTAGATATGTAGATCCAGTAGCAAGCATGCACATACCTGAAAATGTAGAACAAAATGTTTGTGGATGGAACTAGGGTCAAATTAATTTATCACTAAGGCTGACTCGCCCAGGCAAGTTTACTAAAACAAAAGAAGTTATTTTGGAATTGTAATCTGAGCAAACTAAAAATAAGCATGAAGATGCACAAGAAAGAAAAAGAGAAAAGAAAAGCTAATATGAGAAAATAAAAATTTACATCAAAGTATAAAGGGAACAAAAGTGAAAATAAAAAAAATGTTTCAAAAAGTATTAGATGAATTTGTCAGTTTTTGTGATAACTTAAAAATTTTAATTGGGAAGATGGTATTCATTTCACTCCTTTCGGACAGAAAATAAGTGTTGATTATAAAAAAGAAGAAAACTATAATCTGAAGAGTGTGTTTGTGAATGGAACAGTTCTGGGGATGATTCTGATGACCTCTATCTGTCCCCTTGCAAGTACACTCAAAATCTTGTTACTGGATCAGATAGGAGACCAGTCACCAGGCCTTGATCTCAAAGAACACTAAAATAAATAGATGAAAAAATAGAGGATTTTAAACCAATAAAAAACTCCTCCCAGTGTGTCACCTGAGATTTACCAGTCATCTACTCTGGCCTGAGGGTTATCACTAATGCCTCCTTGCATCCTACAGTGAAAAGAAACTTTCTTTCTCCCCCCCCCCCAAAAAAAAAAATTAAGATAAGTGTAGTGGAGTGTCTGCCTAAGCATAGGTGCTTAGTCAGTGTTAGGAGCCAACACTGACTTTGAAAGTAAAAAGAAGGGAGGGACCCTTATATAGATTTGTATTCTTTTGAATTCTCCTATTTTCAAGTAGAAGAAGGATTTGAGATTCCAAAAAACTGTGAAGCAGCTGGGCTCGATGGTGCATGCCTATAATCCCAGTGGCTTGGGAGGCTAAGGCAGGAACCTTGGGCCTCATCAAAGCCAGCCTCAGCAAAAGTGAGGTGCTAAGCAACTCAGTGAGACCCTGTCTCTAAATAAAATACAAAATAGCCTGGGGATGTGGTTCAGTGGTCGAGTACCCCTGAGTTTAATCCCCAGTATCCAACAAACAAACCAACTACAAAACAAGTGCAATAAATCTTTTGTTGGCTACTGTTTAAAATTTTCTTTTGCTCTAGTAGAGAATCTGTAAGACCTTACACAAATGTATGGGACTGTTACCATAGAATATTCTCTTAACAGGGCCCTAGATTGTGAACATTGCTTCAAAACTATATTTTATAATTGTTTAGATTTCTTAAGCTGCTTAAAACCCTTAATAAAATTCAAATTGAATTTTATACCAACATTTTGGAAATAATGATTATTCAAATTATTCTGGCATTTTAATTCTTTCATAAGCATGGATACTAGAGTGAAGGATTATTTTTTTAAGATTAGATGAAGACCTTTGGAAAATCTTTATAAAATCTTAGAATAAAATCCTTGACATTCACAGTAAGATAAACTCCAGGTTGTTTGTGTATCCCTTATACCACTGTTGTATTTAATTCTTCACATAAAATGTGTATGGCATTATGATTAGAGAATCCATGGATATTTGGGCTTAAGGATTAGGTAACTAGTTATGAATGCTAAGTGTGTGCTATTCAAAGTGATGCCTCAGCAAAATCATAAATCATTATGTCATGGACTTCCAGCCAAGAGAGCCTCTCTTATGTAATTGAAAGCCTCAACTGTTAAATATGTGAATACCAAGGGCTTCCCCTGTTTTGTATCAACCAGTGAGAGTTCAGAAAGCTTAACATCCATACTTGTACATACCCCTTTAAACTGAAGGTCGACTGTTTTTAAAGAACAATAAAATTTGTAAAAGATAGCACATGTATTTTCCTTCTGTTCTTTAAATATCAGGTTGCTAACTGTTTATGATTGTCTTATTTCTAGCCTTCTCTATTCCTTGGACATTTCTTCTCTCCACCTTGATATTAGTCAAACCTAACATCTCTGTCTTGAACATTTTTGTTGTGCAATCTTGTATCTCTGTGTATTTCTTATCAGCCATGCTCAAAATACTTCTCATTACTCGAAGTGTTTCTTTTCTCAAAGTCACTGATACGTCCTATTATCCCATCTTATTTTTTCAACCATTCCTTTTATACCTATTCTTTAAATTCACGGAAACACTCTGGAGTTGTATTTTAACTATGAATAAATCTAATTAAAATTCATTTTCTCAGACTGACCATATAACGCAGGGGTAGAGTGGCAAAATGCTCATGGGTGAGATCCTGGGTTTGATTCCCAGCATGGAGTATAAACAGTGCTAAAACTGAAAAAATTCAGTTTCTTAGTTTCTGTAGCCACATGTGGTGGTGATCACAAAACTGTAGACTATGCAGATATAGAATATCTCTATCATCATAGGAAATTCAATAAGATGATGCTCTTTTAGGCTAGCAGTGGGAAAACTATAGCCTATGGGCTCAGTCTAGAATACTGCCTGCTTTGTGGTAGTCTACAAGCTAAGAATGGTTTTAGTGTTTTTCAACCTAAATGTTTTAGAACCAAGTCTGATGACAGGAAACACTAACTTTAAATCCCAATAAACTATCTACATAATTTCCTCAAATTTTGCTTCTTGGCCTACGAAGCCTAAAATATTTACTTTCTGGTCATTTATTAAGAGTTAGCTAATTCCTTTTCTAAAACATTGGTTATTGATACTTTTACTTTACACATCATTCTCTTCTGATACTTTGTGATATAACTTTGGTACCTCATCTTCCTTTCATACCCAGAAGCATTCATTATCCTAAAATGGTGTTATAGTTTTGTATTTTTAATGTTTCTGTATTTCTTGGCTGTTAGCGTTTATCCATAGACTGTATTGTTTTGTGTTTTAACAGTTTACATGAACAATATTGTATATATCCTTTAACAACTGACTTTTAACAGTTTTTGAGATTTATCCATTTATGTTAATCCTCACTTTAGAGGATTATATAAGTAATCCTTAATTATTTATTAATGATTTAATAAACATACAAAAAGAAAATACAAAATTGCATTGGATACAAGATGACATGTTTAATTGTCCTTGTTTTCATCACCAGGAAACTTGCCTTTTTGTACATACCTTAAACCTTAAATATAATCTTTTAAAGGTTAATTGTGTCAAAGAAGAAACATCAAGATACTGTGGAAAAGAAAAGGATTTGATGAAAGCATATTTATTCAGGTAAACTGTGTTTCTGAGTGTGATGTGCAAATATACTTCTCAATATTCAAGCATATAAAATGTCACTAAGCCAAAATAAAGTTGTTTTTAGTGGGGATCATATAAAGTTCAGTAAAAAATTAAAGTAAACTGGGATGTGGTGGCCCATACCTTTAATCCCAGCAACTTGTCAGCCTCAGCAATTTATTTAGACCCTGTCTCAAAATTTAAAAGAATAAGGAGGACTGGGGATGTGGTCCAGTGGCTATGTGCCACTGGGTTAATCTCTGGCATGCACACACACATACAAAAACTCTATAAGTGATAGATTTGCTACCTAACCTCTCTGAACAACTTCCTTGTTTGCAAAATGTGGAGAGTAATATCTACCTTACAGGGATGTTTTGAATATTACATGAAATCATACTACAAATGCCTGGTAAGTAAGCACTTAGAAAATTTAGTGTTCCAAGTTGCTGTGTCAGATTCATATTTAGGTATACTTTATTTTTGAGGCATCTGCCAGTGTCCAGTTTGTAGTTTCCTCTGTATTTATGTCTGATAATCTTTCTGAAGTGTTTCACCTCCTATCCTCAAACCCTTAAGATTTGGCCTAGGAGGTAGTGAGATGTCTATTTGTGCAGGAAACTCTCACTGAGGAAACTTTTTCTCTTTACTATTTGTCTCCTTCCCAACCCAGTTTTTAAATCTCTGTGTATGTATGTGACAAGGAGGTTGTTAGGAAGCCTTGTTTATACTCTTCTTTTTGTTTTTTAAATCTATTTTACCAGATCCAGTGCCTGAGCTTTACAAAATAAATTTATTTATTGAGTGTACGTTCAATTAATATTTGAGAGCATATTATATGACAAAATTCTGGTAGATGCATAGGGCACATGGATAAGACACAGGCTCAAAGTGTATTAGTAAACAAGTAAATTGAATTCTAAGGAAATATTTTTATAATAGCTTTTAAACTTTTTTTTTATAGAGGCAACATATTGCTCAGAGAATTCCCTACTGATACCTTGTTTGATGTGAATGCCATTGTCGCTCATGTTCTCTTGTAAGTACAAAAGGTACTCACTCTTTCATTTATTTATCATTGATATAATTTAGAGAAGTATAATTCATCACAATATTTTAGGATCTTAACATTGTATTTGTAAATGTCAGTTTCACAAAGATTACTGGTTTATCTTCTCACATTGAGGATAAAAATTTCTTTAATGGCAAAGGATATAGGAAAAATATATACTATGTATAAAAGTAAGAGAAGATTCAACAAGACCATATGGTCATACAAGTGCTTTTGAGTCTAACAATGGAATGAGCATTTACCAGATGTCTTAGTGTTTGGAGGCTGCTAGAATGAAATACCATTGGCTGGGGACTAATGAACAACAGAAATGTATTTTTCACAGTTCTGGAGGCTGAGAAATTCAAGGTCAAGATACTGGCAAATTTGGTATTGTATCAAGTCCTCTGCTTCATAGATAGCCACCTTCTCTATGGATGTTCACATGACAGAAAGACCCTGGATCCTGGAGGTCTCATTTATCAGGATACTAATCTCATTCATGAAAGCTTTGCCTTCATGACCTGATAACCTCCCCCAAATCCCCCTTCCTAATACTGTCACTTTGGGATTTAGGATTTCTCTTTTTTGAGATAGGATGTTGCTCTTTCTAAGCTTGCCTTGAACTCGTGATCTTTCTGCCTCAGCATCCTAAGTAGCTGGGTGTTAGGATTTCAACGTATGAATTTAGGAGGGTACAAACATTCAAACTCATAGCACTAGGTGAGAAGCTCTCTTTTTTATTCTCATTAGATTTTTGTAGTACTTGGTTTCCTTCTTACCCAGTCTGGCTTTTTTTCTGCCTGGTATCTGTAGCTCCATGCCTATTTAGTAAGTGCAGAAAGAATTTTTATAGTCTCAGCACATACCTGAGTGTTTACTGAGAGAGTGAATCGAAGTTCTCTGGCATGGAATTGCTTTAAGCCTGGGATTCAGGCTTGACTGGGCTGTACTCCTATAAGCTACCACTGAATGAAGTCTGGTATTCTCTTTGGTGACTTAGCTAGAAAATATGACTGAACAAGGACACCAGTTTACGTGGCTTTTTCAATTTAATGTCATAGGTCTGTTGTCCATTAAGGCCTTTGCTGACATTGACTGTCTGTTTTCTGTTTGGCTCCCTACTTCCTTCTCCTCTCCTACTTAAAATTTTCTCGAAAGTAAAATTACAGGAAGTTAAAAACTTGAGGGGAAAACTTGTGGTTATCATTTTGCAAACAGACACTTTTAAATGTTCCAGTGCTGAGACGTATTAACAGAAGATCCATTAGAAATTCCTGACAAACATGTGCCCTGAGGTCAGTAGATTAAGATGCCAATTGGAATGGGTAGAAGATGATCTTTTATAGAAGAAATTTCACAGAATTTTTAGGCTGCCTTGAAGTCTCTTTCCTAGGACAGAATAGGGTGGCTGTCTTGGCACTAGCAAAAAAGCTCAAGTAATAAATTAATTATTTTTCTCAGGAAGCTGACTAGTTTTATTGTTTTTCTAATAGATTCCTAATAACTATCTTTGACCTAGAAATGAGGTTGAAGGAACAAAGAAGATTCTTTGAAGTATAAGAGGTAATAATATTGTCTTTTCATAGAGTGTGAATCCAGTTTTGACATCAAATCATGGAGTGGCAGGTCTACATTAGACAATTTTATTACTAGCTGGTTTTGAAATAGGACCTATATAAGGAGAGGATGTCAATGCTGAGGACCTTGTCATTTGAACTGGTCAGCCAATGGGTTTTGTCTCTTTCACTTTTGCTGAGGTAGTGTCCTGTTCCTAGTGCTATACTAATGCTGAGTTTTTTTTGTTTTGTTTTGTTTTGTTTTTCGGTACAGGGATTGAACTCAGGGACACTGGACCAATGAACTACATCCCCAGCCTATTTTGTACTTTTTATTTAGAGACAGGGTTTCACTGAGTTGCTTAGTGCCTTGCTTTTGCTGAGGCTGGCTTTGAACTTGTGATCCTCCTTCCTTAGCCTCTCGAGCTACTGGGATTACAGGTGTGTGCCACTGCACCTGGCTTTAATGCTGAGGTTTGGAATACAAATTCCACAATTTGTTCTCGAAGTTTCTGTTGAGTTTCAGCCATTTGTTAGGCATTGGGGATACAAAACAATAGAATGTAGCTTTTGTTCTCTAGGAATTTAGTGTTTAGTTGCAGAGATAGAGATAGAATATATTATGTAGGAAGTAAGATAATAGAAGTGTTTGTACAGAAGAGCTAATAAATCTACAGAGAAGAGAATTATTATTTAGAAAGAGAGTGCCTGTTTATTAAGATGGCTTCTGAAGGAGGTGGCAGTAGCAATGAATTTTTTTTTAATATTTATTTTTTTTCAGTTTTTGGTGGATACAACATCTTTATTTTATTTTATGTGGTGCTGAGGATCGAACCCAGCGCCTTGCGCATACCAGGTGCGCGCACTACCACTTGAGCCGCATCCCCAGCCCTGGGATGAATCTTAAAGGATAAGTGCTTGATGAAGAAAGGGATGAGGGGAAACCACAGGAAACTGACAAAGGTGTGGAAGTTGGAGATAGTTTGGAGACAGTGGTTTTCTCAGAGTATAAAATATGAAGCAGGAGGTAAGAGTATTGAAGTGGTGTGGAGTCAGATGTAGGTGAATCTTTGTATAGGCTTTTGGGCACACTCCTCACCTAAAGGGTGAGGAATCCAACTCTAGGCCAAAATTCCAAGCCATCTTTTAGGTGCAACTCTAGACAGTAACAAGGCTTTGCTCATTAGGCCTTACAGGGGGAAGCTGCCCCATCATGGCAAACTTGGTACATAATGATTGCAGTTTTTTTAAGATAATGAAGTCGAGGACTCCAATCTCTATATCCCCTCAGTTTTTTAGAACAGCCGTGCTCATATGTATAGGTACCTCTGTTTTGAGGGCTCTACCTCAGATATTGAAGATATCCCCCAGGTGCTTTGGCTAAGCACTTGTTATCAGGGTTCTTGATAGAAGTACTTTTCTCCACTTTGAGTCAGTACCTTTCCACTTCTAGCTTTTACCCTTTTTTTCTACCATGTCCATGGGTCTATAAATAGGCAGGGACCTTTTGTTTGCGACTCTTGGAATGAAATGATTCCTGCATCGGTGCTCATTTACTTTCTCCTTGCTTATGGAACCTGTTCCTCTATTTATGGGTCTTTCTTGCATTGTCATAGTAAGCAAATAAAATCTTTGCTTTTTTAGAAATGTGGTGCTAGAGATCCAATCAAGGGCTTCATGCATGCTAGGAAAGTGCTGTACCTCCTACCCTGAATAAAGTTTTGATTATTACTTGAAGTTTGGCTTGTTGTCATAAATGACCATTTTAAAACCTGATTGATAAACAAAGAGATATATGGGATATATGGGATCCAAGCACATGGAGAAACCATTGTGTGGACATTTTATATTCTTGGGCAACATAGATAGCAAAGAGGGAATTTTCCTCTTAATATTTAGGTGGTGAAAGTAGCTGGTCTTGGTAGTTGTTAATTTGGTAACACTAAAACTACATGCTTGAGTAAATACTTGATTTCTTTTTCTTCTTTCTCACTTTGTGCTACTGAGATTCAATTTTATTACCATCTGAAGTAGGGCAAGGAAGGAGAATGAATTTATAGATGATGAGTCTGCTTTAATAAGCCGAATGTCCATCAATCCTCAGTCTCAGGTAGCTGAAGGAATTGGAGCCCCCAAAGAGTACACATCAGGAGTAAACATGTAGGTTGTCCAGAGAGCATCCTAGGGGCAAAACCACTTAATGAAAGAAGAAACTGAGAAGGAAAAAAAATGTCAAGGAAGTAATAACTTGTGGGATATGGTATTTTATAAAATTTTCTAGTAATGATATTTAGAATATTGAAGAACCATGCCAAATAGTTTACTGTATCATAGCTGTGCTTTGAAAAATGCCTTTTGATTTATCATCCTGCATTCATTTGCTAAAATCATCAGTTTGAAATCCCCAGTGTTTGGCAAACAGATTAATTGTTAGATGTTTTCCTTATACAAAGGAGACACTGTAGAAATTTACCCCAAGTTTATAATTTTTTAAAAGTTTACCTTTTGTGTTCTTTTATCAACTATCTGGTTAATTTTTCTTTTTTGACTTTTATATCTTAAGTTATACAATAATGTACTTTATTATTATAAGGAATTTATGCATTTTTGGGATTTGCAATTGATCAATTTGTTTAGAGCAATTTTGGATTTATAGAAAATTATAAATTATAAATTTATAGGAAGTGAGCAAAGAATATAAAGAATTCCCTATGTCTCCTTTTTCTTCCATGTTTGGTTTTCCTGTTACATTTTGCATTAGCGTAGTAGCTGTTACAATTTTTTGAACCCATGTTGACACATTATTATTAGCTAAAGAATATAGTTAAGAGTGTGCTCTGTGTTGCATACTATTTAGGTTTTGGCAGATGTATAATGATGTGTTTCTGCCATTATAATGTCATTCAGAATAGTTTCACTGCTCTAAAAGTCTCTTCCCTTTCTCCAAACCACTGATATTTTTATTATTTCTGTAGTTTTGCCTTTTCTATAATGTGTGGTTGGAATCATCAGCATGTAGCCTTTTCAGATTGGCTTCTTTTGTGTAGCTGTATGTAAAAGACTCCACTCTTTTCATGGTTTGATAGCTCATTTCTTTTTTTGAAAAAAATATATTTAAAAATTATACACACATACATACACACACACACACACACACATATAGTTGAACACAATACCTTTATTTTATTTTTTAATTTTTATGTGGTGCTGAGGATCGAACCCAGCGCCTTGCATGTTCTGGATGAGCACTCTTCCGCTGAGCCACAACACCAGCCCCTAGCTCATTTCTTTTTATTACAGAATAATATTCCATTGTGTGGATGTACCACAGTTTGTTTATCCATTCACTTGTGGAACATCTTGGTTGCTTCCAAAGTTTTGGGATTTATGAATAAAGCTAAATGTAGGTTTTTGTGTGGAAGTAAGTTT